TTGAGCTCATGGCTCTGGGGCAAACCTGTAATGGTGGTTTGCAGTGAATTCTGTTCCTCTCCTCTAGCAGGTCTCCCTGACTCTAGATCTCAATTATACTAAGCCAAATGCAGGTCAGTTTTAGCTCCTAAAGGACCACCGAGTTCGCGCTGACTCCCCGAAGAAGGAGCATCTCACCAATGTCAGAGCAGAGAACCAGGAACCAGGAAGTACTTGTTTCCCATGGAGAAGGTCTCTTGTGAGGTTTCCCATGAGATTATTCTGAAGTATAAAAATACAGACTGCACTGTGTCCAGCAGAGGGTGGTCTTGGTCTTGATTTTCCATCCCAGATTTGAATGAGGTGGACCCCTGCTGATAAGTTGAATGAAAGAGACACTCTATGGAATAGTCACTGGAATGCAAAGTACTGCATAGGGAACATACACAATAATAATGTAATAATTATGTATGGTAGAAGGTGGGTCCTGGAAATATGGAGGGGAATCGCTTGTTTAAAGTATATGATTCTCCCTTTGGTTGGTGTGGCTCAGTTGGTTGGAGCATCATCCCGTACATCGGAAGGTTGTGGGTTTGATCCTTGATAAGGGTGTGTGTGGAAGGCAGGTGATTGATGTGCAAATAATTTTTGTCATTAGTTTATATTACAAAGAATTCACACACACATACACAATCCTCTCTCTGAGATACATTCTGTGGCACTTGTTGACTGAGAAGGTGGTGGTTCCTTTCCTCCAGTTCACTGCTGTGAGTCGTGCCTCATGCTGAGTTGGGTCAGCTCATCCTCCTCTATGCCCTAAGGCTCACCTTGCCTGGTGGAGGTTAGGGGGAAAATTTCCTCTTCTGCCCTTCGGTCCCTACCATTGGCTATGATCACAACTTCCTCTCCCCTCCCATCCCATCTGTCCCTCATAGCTGACCTATAGGACAGAGGATGGGCCTGGGAGGTGAGGCTGTGTTGGGGCCACATCTGCCATCCCCAGTGTGAGTGGTGCCTCCCAGAGGAGGCACCAATTTCCACCAAAATTAACTGGGAGATTGAGTGACATATTGCTTTAAGTCTGCAGATTAATTAGGGTAGAGTAGGCATTTATGCAATATGGTTTTCATATCCAGCAACATGCATATTTTCCTATTTATTTACATCTTTAACGTCCTTTCATACAGGTTTGTAATTTCCTGCACTGAGAAAATACAATTATATTTTTATCATGTACATCTCTAAATAGATATATTCTAGGTATACCATTTTTGATGCTGTTGTCAATGGCATCTTGTATAACACCCTATTTTCTTTATTACTGTTGTACAGGAATGCTTTTTATTATTGTAATTTGATGTTTTGAGCAAGCTTGCTAACTTTCTTATTAAGCCCCAAATATATCTATATACATTTGTAGATTTTTCTGTCTATGCAGTCACTTATGGAAAAAGGCAGCTCTTTGTTTTCACTTTTCATAGCTTATGCTTATTGTTTTTTATATTTTTGCTTTGTGAAATACTGATTTTAATATCCCTTTAGCAATCACAGTTACCACTGAAGTGTTCATGTTTTACAAAGATACTTCAACAGATCTTCACAGAAGAGTACTTATCATCTCATATACCACTACCATTTATCACATACAGAACTGAGTGCATGTACATGGTGTATACACACTGCAAATGTGTTTGCACAAAAACTTGCTGGGTACTAAGTATTCTTATTCCTAAGTGCTTTTGTGGTGTTCAAACATTTCACTATAGCTTTATCAGGGTGAAATGCACTGGGAGAACAACAAGTAGATTGTTATCTTCATTCTCACATTGATATGCACAAACATGTATGGTCCCAGTCAGGTAGTAGATGTACATACATGTCCTAGGTGGGGCACACTTCTCTGCTTGGGAGAATACATTATATAAATTGTGGGCCAGAAGCTTATTCTACTTCAAAACTGCCATAGTCGTATGAATCCTTTGACTGATTTGCACATGGAACAGCGATTTTAATACCTCTTTAGCCATCAGACTTATCCCTGAAGTGATCATTATTTAACAAAGATACTTCAACAGGTCTTCACAGAACAGAACTTGTTATCTCGGACACCACTAGCATTCATCATATACGTAAATGAGTGCAGGTACATGGTGAGCTTTTACTTATTGTTACAGTCTTTCTAGACCAGGACCTGATGCTACGGCCTTGGGTGTGATGTTTACTGAAGACAACCTGTATCTCGTTAGGGAAATTCATCTTTATTCCCAGTTGTCCATGAGTTTTACCATGAAGTCATTTGAAATGACCCACTGCTCATTGTTTTATTTCTTGGGATTTAATCAGTCAAGGGCAGATCAGGAACACAGAAGCCCCACTATGGATTTCAGCAGTGGAAATTCAATGTGAGGAATTTGTTATGCTGATGTTGGAGCACACATGGAGCAGAAGTAGAACTCTGCCTGGAAGACTTGGGCCTTCTAATCTAACCCAAGTAGCCAATCTCAGTTATTTAGCATATATATATGTGTGTGTTATTGAGATATAATTGACATAAGACATTACTGCAGTCTGAAGTCGTACTTAATGATCTGATAGATATGATTACTGCTCAGCACAGTATGTCTTCTTAAATATCCACCACCACATAGACTTACACACTTTTTGCTTGTGATGAGGTTTCAAATTTTTTTCTCTTAGCCATTCTTAAATATACAACATGGTTTTATTAATGATATTATTATAGTTAATGATATTAATACTCTCTAATATTAACCACCATCATTATGCTGTACATTATTTCCTCATGATTTAAAAACATTTTTTAAAAGATTTTATTTATTTATCTTTAGAGGAGAAGGGAAGGAGATAGGGAGAGAAACATCAATGTATGGTTGCCTCTCGTGTGTCCCCTGCTAGGAACTGGCCTGCAACCCAGGCATGTGCCCTGACTGGGAATCGAACCGCAGTACTCTGGTTCGCAGGCCCACACTCAGTCCACTGAGCTATACCAGCCAGGCTACTTCCTCATGATTTAATTATCAAATAACTAAACGTTTGCACCCTTCACTACCCTCTTCCTTTTGGCCCACCCCGCCCTCTGCCTCTGGCCATGACCAATCTGTCTTTTCTATCTGTGAGTTTGACTTTTTAAAAAGATTTCTCCTTTAGGTGAAAGTATATGGTATTTTTATTTCTCTCTTTGATTTACTTCAGTTAGTATAAAGCTCTCACAAGTCCATTCATGTTGTTGCAAATGGCAGAGTTTCCATCTGTTTTATGACACAGACACCTTCCACTGTGTATATAGCACATTTTCTTCATCCCTTCATTTCTCAATGGACAATGAGGTTGCTCCCACATCTTGGCTATTGTAAATAATGCTTCAAGGAATGCAGGGGTGCATAGGTTATCTCAATTTAGTGTTTTCACTTTCTCCAAGTGAATACCCAGATGTGGATTTGCTGGATCTTATGGCAGCTCTGTGTTTCATTTGGGGGGAACTGACATAGTGATTTCCACAGCAGCTGCCCCAACCTTACATTCCCAGGCACAGTGCAAGAGGATGTCCCTTTCTGTGCATTCTTGTCAATACTCATTCCTTCAGATTTGCTAGGCTGCTCAGTGCTGTCAGTTGTAGGGGGAACTACCATGGAAATCCTACCTACTCTAGTTCTTTGCTTGCACAAGTCAGTGTTCTTTGCAATATGTGAGGAATCTGGGGTAGGTGGGGGCTGGTTACCTCTGGTTCACCTGCTCTCTGAGGCAGGGGCAGCCCCAGATTTTGAAAAGCCTGATATTTATACTAATGTTGAGATCACTGCTTCAAAGAAAGCAACATGTGGCACTCAGGAATTTTTCTGATATGAGAAAACACATTATATCAAGTAAGGAAAGCTGAAATGCTGAAAACTAAATTATAAGACAATTCAAAATATTACAGATATTTTTATCAGTAGTGTGGTGTTCCTGTGTGGTACATCTGCATGACACATGCTCCTCACGTTTTTGACAGGCACTGCTTCATTGCTTCTTCATAAGAGAATAATTCTGTCATATAGTAATAAATGTTAATATTGTATTAGTAATCACTATTACTGATTAAATAATATTATATCACACAGAGAATAGGAAGAGAATTCAGTATTTCCCTCAGCACCATTGATTGGCATTTCTTTTCCTCCTATAAGAGTTTAAGAAACTTGTTTTTCATCACACAAGTTGTCACTGGAATGTCAGAACTCTTCACATTGTTGTCATAGTTTGGAAAGTGTTTATCAAGTTTCTTTCTTTCCTAAGAGAGCAATGGGCCTGCAGTTTATTTCCATACATCCCTGAAACCTTTGTGGGACTTTGAGAAGGGACTGAGCTCTTGAGGGGCCCTGATGATTGAGCTTCCTGAGGATTAAGGTGGCAAATTTGGTACTGTGCTGAGGACCAGCAATTGGGCTTCCAGACAAAAAGAGTGAGGTCTCCCATCACACACCCCATCCTGAGGGTACCTGTGCATTGTTGTTGTCCCACAGGCCCCCAGACCCTAGAAGTCCATCACTCGTGCATCTCATATCCCCCAAACCCTCAGAGCAAAGTGCTTCAATGCTCAGCTTCCCTCAGGGTTCTACCCTCCACTGGACTTGGGTATAAATTCCTTCCTCTTTTACCAGCACTCGGTGGTCTAAAGGAAATTTAAAAGTATCCTCTTCCAGAAGGTTCAGTGGTTTCAGCTGGAGGGTGGGCACCCCAGGTCACCAGGAGCAGCTCAGACTGCCATGACCCCTGGGTGACCTTCTTCTTGACTTAAACATCAACTGTAAGGTGATCCCTTTCACATTCACATCTGGATGAGACGTTCAACCTTTAGGGGCCTGAGTACATCACTTGAAGGATATGGCAGAAGGCTGAAGTTGAGACGAGATGATTTCTCAGCCTTTACCCAACTGCCACAGTTTTTGGAACCCAACTTCCCCTTGCAGGCCTGGCCACAGTTCTGTCACCCATGGCTTCCTGTTGGGGCGTCCTAAGCCCTACCCCACAACTTGGCTTTCTCCTCCCTGACACAGAAACCTAGACCTACTCTGCCCTGTGAGATGCAGACATGGTACCCCTGCTCCTGCTGTCTCTGCTGTGGGGAGGTGAGTGGGCAGAGGGAGGGGAGATGGGTAGGTGGGGGCAGAGGCTGCAGCTGAGCCTCTGTGTTCCCCCAGGGTCCTTGCAGGAGGAGGAAGGCTATGAGCTTGGAGTGCAGCATTTGGTGAAGGTGCAGGAGGGTCTGTGTGTCCACGTGCCCTGCTCCTTTTCCTACCCATGGAGGTCATGGTATTCCTCTGGCGAACTCTACACCTACTTGTACTGGCGTGGGGAGAAGACACGCAACTTTAATCTTGTGGCTACAAACAACCCAAATAAAGCAGTGAAGAGGGAGACCAAGGACCGATTCCTCCTCGGGGACCCCAGGACCAACAACTGTTCCCTGAGCGTCAGAGACGCCAGGAAGAGTGATGCAGGAACTTATGTCTTCCAAGTGGAGAGAGGAAATGTACCTACTTACAAAGATAAGAGGTTGAACTTGCAGGTGACAGGTATGGCAGGGGCCCAGTAGAGAATGCTGAGACATGGGACCTGGTCTGACAGAAGGAACAGGTCACTGAGATACTTCCTGATCTAGGCCTTGGGCCCAGGGTGGTCAGAGGAGACACAGGACCCAGGATGAGCTCAGGCCCTGAGTCAGGCATCCCTCTCAGATTTATATTCTAGATCCCCAACCTCTGGGACCCAAGCACCCCTCTCTCTTCTCCTCAGACCTGACACAGAAGCCAGACATCCTCATTCAGGAGCATCTGCAGTCTGGCCGCCCCACACAGCTGACCTGCAGCCTGCCAGGGGCCTGTGGAGGGGGAAGACCTCTCACCTTCTCCTGGGCAGGAGCTGCTGTTGACTCTCTGAACCACCAGAACCTCCACTCCTCAGTGCTCACCTTCACCCCAAGGCCCCAGGACCATGGGACCAACCTCACCTGTCAGGTGAAATTGCAAAGATCAAGGGTGACTACACAGAGAACCATCTGGCTTAACGTCTTCTGTGAGTGTTGGAGGGATACCTGGTTCCCTGGGTGCAGTGAAACTGGTGTGTGCACATGTGTGCATGTCTGTGTGTGTGCATGTGTGTGTGTGCAGGTGGCTGAGCTTACCTGAGAACATCTATGAATGAATCTGAGTGCAGGTGGGGAGTGGGCCAGAAGGAGAGCAGTTCCACCTTCCTGGTCCCCACCTCCCATCCTTGGTTTGGGATGACTTCCATCTGCTCTTCTCCTCTGAAGGATGGCCTTATCTTTCTGTCCCAGATGCCCCATGGAACCTCACCATAGGCGTGTTCTTCAGAAATGTGACAGGTAGTAAAGAACCTCCCTCTCTGGGACTAAGAGTTGATGGTGCGGCCTCCTCCATGGAGCTGAGGGGGGAATCAGAATGTGAATGGGATCAGATATGGGAGAGGCAAGGAGGAAAATTGTAACCCTTCCTCCCTCACTTTTTTGGGTGGATGACAACAGCTGTGTTCCACATCTTTCTCTCTGTGTCTGTCTCTCTCTCTTTCTATTTTTGTATTTTTCCCCCCAAAGCTCTCAAGATAGTACAAGACACATCCATTCCCATTCTGGAGGGCGAGACTCTGCAGCTGCTCTGTGTGGCTGACAGCAACCCCCCTGCACAGCTGAGCTGGTTCCGGGGGCCTCCAGCCCTGAACACCACCCTGATCTCCAGTACCTCGATCCTGGAGCTGCCTCGTGTGGGGACTGGAGAAGGAAAGTTCACCTGCCAAGCTTGGCACCCGCTGGGCTCCCAAAGTATCTCTCTCAGCCTCTCAGTGGTCTGTGAGTGTGGGAAAGTCTGGGCGCAGGATATCTGTTACCTGGGAGGGCAGAAACACTGCTGACCCTACTCCTCACTCCCCACAGACCCCCCACGGCTGCTGGGACCCTCTTGCTCCTGGGAGGATGGGGATCTGCACTGCAGCTGCTCCTCCCAAGCCCAGCCTGCACCCTCACTGCGCTGGTGGCTGGGGGCAGGGCTGCTGGAGAACCCCAGCAACACCTCCTACACAGTCACCTCCAGCTCAGAGGGGCCCTGGGCCAACAGCTCCCTGAGCCTCCCTGCGGGGCTCAGCGCTGGCCTCAGACTCAGCTGTGAGGCGGAGAATGTCCACGGGGCCCAGAGGGCCAGTGTCCTGCTGCTGCCAGGTCAGAGGCCTGGGGGCAGTGGCTGAGGGAGAAAGGAAGGGATGAAAGGGATGATGGAACTGGGGAGAGGGGCCAGGAACTGAATGATTGCTAGGACAGAACCGTCAGTCTTGTTCATAACATACAGCAGGTTCTGCAAGGGGGTGGGAATACAAGACTCTGAATGTGCGAGTGGATGTATTCACACCCCTCTTCTCTGCAGGGAAGTTGGTATCTGTTTCAAGAGTGGTTCCTGCAGCTTTTGGAGGTGCTGGTGTCATGGCCCTACTCTTCCTATGCTTGTGTCTCATCTTCTTTTGCATGTAAGCCCATGTCCTGGGGAGGTACAGGGAGCAGAGTAGTGGGGAGTACATAGAGAGGCCCCAGAGTCCCAGAAATACAGATCTGAGTCCATACAGAGTGGTCCTCTGGCAAGGGAGGCAGGGTAAGAGCTTTATTGAAAGAAAATTCTTATATATTTCACGTGTACAATTCAGAGGCTTTTATTTTAGTCACAGAGTTGTGCACCCATCACCACAACCAATTTTAAACTTTTTCATTATGCTTAATGCATTATGCTAAGTGAAATAAGCTGGGTGGTGAAATACAAATACCATATGATCTCATCTGTAAGTGGAAACTAATTAATACAGTAAACAAATGAGCAAAATAGAACCAGAGACTTGGAAATAAAGAACAAACTGACAGTGACCAGAGATGGGGTACGGGGAATGGGATAATGGGGGAAAGAAGGGGAAGGGGCAAGGAAAGGAACATGAATATAGGACTCATGGGCATGACCAATGGGGGGATTGACTGTGGGAGTGGGGGTCAGTAGGGTAAAAGGGAGACAACTTTAACTGAACAACAAATAATTTAAAAAAAACTTTTCATTAGATTCAAATGAAAAAAATAACCCACATTCCTTATTCATGATTTTGTCAACATCCTACCCCATCCTCAGGTATCCAGTCATCTATTTTTGTTTCTCTAGATTTACCCATTCTCAACGTTTTGCTTAAATGGAATCATACAATACGTGGTTCTTTGTGACAGACTTACTTCGCATAACATAACATTTTCAAAGTTCATGTGTCATTACTTTATTCTTTTATCTCTAAATTACATTCCATTGCATGGATAGGGTACTTTTTATATTTCCATTTATTCATTAAAGAGTATGTGGGTTGTTGTTACTTTGGGGTTATCATGAATAACACTGTTATAATTATTTTTGTACAAGTTTCTATGTGTAAGAGGGCCTTTAGTTTTGAAAATTTAGTCCAGGTCAAACACCTGGTCATAGGGAGCAGAGCGCTCACTTGTATGTATGAAGGGTCTCCAACTCTGGTTCTGGGTCTGGATGCCTCTGTTGTTTTATCAGGGAGTGGGGGCAGCCTGACAGCCAGTGCCTGATTTACTTGGCTGCCGAATTCTTCCCTTAGAGTGAAAAACCACAGGAGGCGAGCAGCTGGGAGGCGAAAGGTGGCAAATGATGAAGACCCTGTCATGGATACAGCCGCCTGGGTGAGTGATGTGGGTGTCTTGTCATGAGGTGTAGTGGGATGTGGTGTAGGTCCTGGTTATGTCCATTCAACGAGTTCAGACTGAGTTCCTCTGTGGTCAGTTGGACAGAAAGCTGGGAGCTGACTTTCCCTTCATCTCCCGGAGCCCATGGTTGGCCTTTCACCCTAGCCCTGGTGACTACTGAACCCACGTCACCTCTTGGTCAGGTACAGCCTGACAGAAGAATCTCTCCCCAAATGGTTAGTTTCTACCCATTCTTGGCCTGTTACTTCACCTCTCCTCCCTTCAGTTTCCCTTCCTGGGAATGGAAATAATAAAAGTATCATTCACATTTGGTGTCTTTGAGGATGAAATGTGTTATTATCCATCAATAAGATCTAATCAATCATAATTATGATCTTTTAAAAAGATTTTATATACTTATTTAGACAGAGGGGAAGGGAGGGAGAAAGAAAGGCAGAGAAACATCAGTGTGTGGTTTCCTCTAGCATGCCCACTATGAGGGAACTGACCTGGCCTGCAACCCAGGCATGTTCCCTGACTGGGAATTGAACTGGTGACCCTTTGGTTTCCATGCTAGTGCTCAATCCACTGAGCCACACCTGCCAGGGCTCTGATTTTAAATAAACAGCAAATAGTTGAGTTCATGAGGACTGTGTGTGGAATAACAGGATGAATGAAAAACTGTTCAATCAGCCCAACTTCTCCTTGAGACCACGTCTGTTTTCTTCTCTCTCTTCTGTCCCCTCCCCTTTACTCAGGGTTCCCAGCAAAACCCCAGGATGAATGGGCCCTCAGACCAGCAGTCACCCCCAGGAGACATCTCTGCATGGAGAGAGGAGCAGGATACCCAGTACATCAACCTCAGGTTTCACGGGAGGAAGCTATGGGAGCCTCAGGACAAGGGGGCCACCAGCACCTGTGTGTACTCAGAGATCAAGAAGACAAGCCAATGACGTCTTGCTCAGAGCTTAGTCCTGGCCAGAGGTATCACAGCCTCTGAGGGAAAGAAGTCAGGGACTAATTGATGAAACATGAGGAGATCTCGTGCAACATTAACATTAACCACTGTAAGGCATCCACAGGCAGAGCAGAAAGAAGAAAGGTGACGGGATTGGAGAGACTTGGACTCAAGTGCAGACTTCAGCATTTGCTAAGGCATTGTCTTCAAGTGAGTCACTTCCTTTCTCTGTCATCAGTTTCCTTTCTGTACAGCAGAGATCATACATGCTACTCAAAGGCGGCTGTGAAGATTAAATAAATTACAACCAACAGAGGTCCAGAGCTTCACCGTCTCTCTTTTTTGAACAGAAAGGTCTTTGTGGCAAGTTCTCCTGAAGCCATGGGTGACCTGCCATAGAAAACAGGGTGGAAACTTGTTGCTGTCATTTTCTATGCAGAACTCTTCAAAGTCCCCTCAGAGAAGCACACTGGACTCAGCTGGTGTTCCGTTGTGATGTGGTATCTTGTAGTTTCTGTGGGGTCATCTCACCCCACTTTTGCCTGTACATTCTTCCAGCTCCTCCTGTGTGCCAGTCCCTTCCCCATCCCATGTACGGCCCCACTGGGATTTTTCCAACAGCCTGTGGACTGTAAACCAGAACTGACCAGGTATTTCATCACCAAAAATGATTTTTTTTATTATAAAAAAAAGATTTTACTTATTTTTATTTTTATTTTTTTAAAACTTTTTAATTGATTATGCCATTACATTTATTCTATTCCCCGCTCCGTTCCCCTCCACCCTGCATACCCCTCCCCCACCATTTCCCCCTTTAGTTCAGGAACACGTGTCTCAAATTCTTTAGATTCTGTATTTCCCCTACTATTCTTACCCTCCCCCCTATCTATTTTTTATCTACTGTCTATGCTACTTATTTTCTGTACCTTCTCCCCCCTTCTCCTCCTCCCACTCCCCTGTTCCTAACCCTCCATGTGATCTTCATTTCTATGGTTCTGCTCCTGATCTAGCTGTCCTCTTAGTTTGCTTTTCTTTTAGGTGTGGTTGTTACTAACTGTGAGTTTGCTGTCCTTTCACTGTTCATCTTTTTTATCTTCTTTTTCTTAGGTAAGTCCCTTTAACATTTCATATAATAAGGGCTTGATGATGATGAACTCCTTGAATTTGGTCTTATCTGAGAAGCACTTTATCTGTCCTTCCTTTCTAAATGAAAACTTTGCTGGATAGAGCAATCTTGGTTGTAGGTCTTTGGTTTTTATGACTTGGAATACCTCTTTCCAGCCCCTTCTTGCCTGTAAGGTCTCTTTTGAGAAATCAGCTGACAGTCTGATGGGAACTCCTTTGTAGGTGACTGTCCCCTTAGCTCTTGCTGCTTCTAGGATCCTCTCCTTCATTTTAATCTTGGTTAATGTAATGATGATGTGCCTTGGTATGTTTCTTCTTGGGTCCAACTTCTTTGGGACTCTCTGAGCTTCCTGGATTTCCTGGAAGTCTATTTCCTCTGCCAGAATGGGGAACTTCTCTCTTTTTTTTAAAATATTTTTATTTATTTATTTATTATTTATTTTTAGAGAGAGGGGAAGGGAAGGAGAAGAGTGGGAGAGAAACATCAATGTGTGGTTGCCTCTCCTGAGTCCCCTGCTGGGAACTGGCCTGCAACCCAGGCACGCGCCCTGACTGGGAATCGAACCTCGATACTCTGGTTTGCAGGACCGCGCTCAATCCACCGAGCTACGCCAGCCAGGGCGGAACTTCTCTTTTATTATTTGTTCAAATAAGGTTTCCACTCGTGACTCTTCCCCTTCTGGTACCCCTATAATTCGGATGTTGGAGCATTTAAAGATGTCCTGGAGGTTCCTAAGCTTCTCCTCATTTTTTTGAATTCTTGTTTCTTCATTCTTTTCTGTTTGATAATTTTTTTCTTCCTTCTGGTCCACTCCATTGATTTGAGTCCCAATCTCCTTTTCATTACTACTGGTTTCCTTTGTATTACCATTCATTTCAATTAGTTTAGCTTCCATATGTTCCTCTAATTTGTGACTAAAATCAACCAGTTCTGTGAGGATCCTGATAACCAGTGTTTTGAACTGTGCATCTGAAAGTTTGGCTATTTCTTCATCGTTTAGATTGATCGTCTCTGGGGCTCTGAGTTGTTCTTGAGCCATTTTTGGTCTGTTCGCGTCGTCAAGTAAGCGGAGCGAAGCTTTAGTTGTTTACCAGGACGGGGCCACCCAGGTCGCTGGTTTGTGACGCTATGTGTGGGGGCATGGTCAGAGAGGGAGCAATGGTGGTCCTCTCCACTAGCCCAGTCTGTCCAGTCCCACCACTCGCCCGGGGCCTGTTTATCCGATCGGAATTGTGTGAGCCTGCTGCCCCGTGCCTGCTCGCCTCTTCACTGGTTTATCTGCACGCAGATGCACGACCGACCGCAGACAGCCAGCCGCGCCTCTTCCCTGTGTGCTCCCAAGCTAGCCCGTGATCGGCGCCTTTGCCTGCTTGCGCACCACCCGTTCAGGGATTTTTTTTGCCAACCTGCTCCGCTGCTGGCTTCGCTCCTCTTACCAGTTTAGCTGAGCATTTTGTTGTCTTTGGACTCCGTATTGTCAATTTTCTGTGTGGCTTGGTTGTTTATTGTTGTTAAAAATAGTCGTTCTTAGATTTGGTTGTGCACGGAAGCAAGGTGGTTCCACCTACACCTTCATCTTGGCGGAAGTCCCAAAAATGATTTTTTTCAGAGACAAAGAAATGGCTGCAATGCAGCTGGTACAGCCACAGCGAGCCATGTGCACACCCTGGGCAGGGAAGGAGCGGGCATGAAGCCCTTGTCACAGAGCAGAAGCAGAAGTTTGGGGGAGTGACTTTTATGACCATAGAGCTCTGCTTTGACACTAGAGTGCTTCTGTAGGGCGGCCAGTGCCACGTAGGGTGTGACAGCGCCACCCACAGGCTTCCTCATTCCTGGCTAGGTTAGTTCTCCAAGGTAAAACCAGGTGTGGTAGAGAGCTGACCCCACCTCTGTCCTTTACACACCCATTTCTGATTCCCTTGCCTTGGACAATACATCCCAAAACTTTCCCCCTAGCATTCACTACCTCACCCAACATTTCCCCATGCCCTTTGTTCCTTAGACATTCTATGGTGTTTCCTACAAAAGTCTTAGCTAATTGAGATCCCCCTCCTGGAGGCCATGCCCCCTTGCTTCACTCTGGCGCACTCCACCTGTCCTTCAAACCTGAGTTCTTGCACAGATTTGCATGGAGAGAGTGAAGTGAAGAAAGAGCTCATAGTCTTTCTTCTCTATATAGTTGATCTCATTTAATTTTTTCAGAGGAAAAATTTAAAACAAAAACAGCCAGAATTTTATGGGCAGCACCAGAGTGCACGTGCCTAACAAGAATCTCTTTGGTTGTGAGGACAGTAGTCTCCCTTATGTGTGGGGGAGATGTTTCAAGACCCCCAGTTCATGCCTGAAATTACAGTTAGTACCGAATCTTATATATATTATGATTTTTCTATACACACTTATGATAAAGTTTAATTGGTAAATTAGGCACAAGAAGAGATCAACAAGAGTAACTAATAAAACAGAAGAATTATAACAATATACTCTGATGAAATTTATGTAAATGTATTCTCTCCATCTCTTGAAATATCTTCTTTTTGTGTACTCACCCTTCTTCCTGTGTTAATGTGAGAAGACACGATGCCCTTGTGACAAGATACAGGAGGTGTATGACATAGGTGAGACAAAGCATGAGACTACTATAACGGTGACATGAACACAAGCATGTGATACCATGACAGTCGATCTGATACCTCAATGTATCAGGTATTACTTAATACCTAGATGTATCCAAATAGCTTTGTTTTCTTTACACTTTTCATAGCCTATACCTGTGGCTATTGCCTTTCTAGACTATGACCTGATGCTACTGCATTGGGTGTGATGTTTGCTGAAGACACCCTCTATCTTGTTAGGGAAATTGTCCTTCATTCCTAGCTGGCTGTGAGTTTTACCACGAAAGCACTTCAAATCACCCACTGCTCATTGTTTTATCTTTTGAGAGTTAATCAGTCAAAAACAGGTGAGGAACACAGAAGCCCCACTATGGATTTCAGCAGCAGGAATTCAATGTGAGGAATTTGCTATGCCGATGTTGAAGCACACATGGAGCGGAAGTGGAACTGTACCTGGAAGGCTTGGACCTTCTAATCTAATCTAGGTACCCAGCCTAAATGTTCTTCATTCATATATATACCCATATCTATGATATAATTGACATATAACTATGACATACACACACAGTGAAGTGCTCACCACAGTATGTCTTGTTAAATATCCATCGCCACATAGTTACACATTTTTTTGTAATGAGAATTTTAACATTTTTTTCTCTTAGCAATGTGCTTTCTTAGCAATTTTTAAAATATATAACATGGTATTATTAACTATATTATTACAGTTAATTCCCGCTATTATTAACTATAGTCACCATGCTGTACATTACACCCTCATTATTTAATTATCTTATAACTATAAGTTTGTACCTTTGACCATCCTCATCCCTTTTGCCCTGCCCCGCCTCAGCCTCTGGCCTCTACCAATCTGTTGTATCTATGAGTTTGAATTTAAAAAATGTTTTTATGTATAATTGAAGTTACATGGTATTTGTCTTTCTCTGTCTGATACTTCACTTAGCATAATGCCTTCATGATCCATCCATGTTGTCAGAAAGGCAGGATCTCCTACTTTTTTTTGGCAGACTAGTATTCCACTTATATAGACCTCATTTTCTTTATCCATTCATTTATAATGGACACTTAGATTGCTTCTACATCTTGGCTATTGTAAATGATTCTGTAGTGAACATAGGGGTGCATATGTTAATGTTTTCATTTCTTTCAGATAAATGCACACAAGTGGAATTGCTGGATGTTATGGAAGCTCTGTTTTTAATTTTTGAGAAACTGACATAATGATTTACATAGCAGCTGCCCCAATTCACATTTTCAGCTACAGTGCAAGAGGGTTCCCCTTTAGAACATTCTTGCCAACACTTACTATTTCTTGAGATTTTCTAGACTGCTTGGGGATGTGAATTGTGGGAAGAACAACCACAGAAATCTTGCTTCCTTTAGTCCTTTGCTTGTACAAGACAGTCTTTGCGATATGTGAGGAGTCTGGGGTGGGTGGGGAAGTAGAACTGGTTACCTCTGCTTCACATGTTCCCAATGGCAGGGGCAGATCCAGTTATGTGGAGCCTGATGTTTATACTAATGATGAGATCACTGCTTCAAGACAAAAAGCAACATGTGGCACCTATGAATTTTTCTGAAATGAGAAAACACATAATATCAGTTGAGAAATGCTAAAAAGCCAAAACATAAGCCAATTGAAAAATTATAGAGTATTACCATTAGTAGTGTGGTATTCCTCTCTGGCATACCTGCCTGAAACATTTTTTGTTCAAACTCTTTGATTGCCTATTTATAGGAAAATAATTCTGTCATACAGTAATCAATATTAATATTAGATTAATACACATTATTAGTTGTTATAATAATATTATATTTATGTAACATAGTAAACAGAAAGGGAATTCAGTATTTCCCTTGGCACCAATGATTGGCATTTCTTTTTCTTCTATGTAGTTTAAGAAAGTTTTTAAATCACACAATTTGTTACTGGGATGTGTGAACTGTTACAGATCATTACCGGGTTTGGGAAAAAGTTTACCAAGTTTTTTCTTTTATTTAAGAGCAATAGGATTACAGGTTATTTCCACACATCACTGGAGCCCTTGTGGGGCTTTGAAGAGAGACTGAGAACATGAGGGGCTCTGAGGATGGGGCTTCCTCAGCTTTAAGGTAGCAAATTTGCTGCTGTGCTGTGGGCCAGCCTTTGGGGTCTCCACTGAATGGAGCGAGATCTCCCATCACACACCCCACTTTGAGGAGACCTGTGCACTGTCATTGTCCCACAGACCCTCAGACCCTAGAAGACCATGACTTGTGCATCCCATGTCCCCACAGAGCAAAGAGCTTAATGCCCAGCTTTCCCCTGAGTTCCACTCTCCACTGGAGTTGGGTCTAAATTCCTTCCTCTCCTATCAGCACTTGGTGGTGCAAAGGAAATTTAAAAGTATCCTCTTTTAGAAGGTTCAGTGGTTTTAGCTGGAGGTGGGTCCCCTGAGCCACCATGACCAGCTCTGCCCATGGTGACCCCCTGAGTGACCCTCCTCTTGACTTAAACATCATCTGCAAGATGATCCCTTCCACATTCACATTTGGGCAAGCCTCTCAACCTCTGGGGGCCTGGGTATATCCACTTGGAGGATATGGTAAAGGGCTGAAGTTCACAGGATGATTTCTCAGCTTCTACCCCACCCCCATGGCCTGTGGAGCCAAAGTTCCCCTTTCAGGCCAGGTGGCAGCTCTTTCACCCATGGCTTCCTCTCAGGATGTCCTCAGCTTCACCCCACAGCTCTGCATTTCTCTGCCTGACACAGGAGCATAAATCCTCTCTGCCCTGTTAGATGCAGACATCATGCCCCTGTAGCTGGAGCTTGAACCTGACCCTGGGGTCACCATGGAGTGGAGGGGGGATCAGAGTGTGAATGGTATGAGATACGGGAGAGGCAAGGATGAAAATCATCACCTTCCCTCCCTCACTTCTTGTGGGTGAATGTCTGCCTTGTGTTCTTGTTTCTCTCTCTCTCCCTCCCTCTCTCTCTCTCTCTCTCTCCACTTCTGTCCCCAAAGTACTCAAGATTGTGCAAATCACATCCCTTCCCACCCTGGAGGTCAAGGCTCTGTGCCTGCTCTGCATGGCTGAAAGCAACACCCCCACAGTGCTGAGCTGATTCTGGAGTTCGCCAGTCCAGAATGTCTCCCCCTGCCCACCCCCAATCTCCAGCACCACAATCCTGGAGCTGCCTTGTGTGGAGACTGCAGAAGAGGGACAGTACACCTGCCAGGATCAGCACCCACCAGGTTCCAAACATGTTTCCTTCAGCCTCTTTGTGCAGAGTGAGTTGCAGGATAAGTACTAGGGGTAGGGGGCTAAGTCAGGTGTTGGGGCTGTGGGCAGACTTAGATCTGGGGTCACTACTTCACATCCTCTCCTTTTCTCCAGGATGTCCCCCTTTCCTGCTGGTGTGTGACTCAGGAGCAGCAGGGCTCCTGGCCTCTCATACTCACTCTGATCAGAGGGAGCCTCATGGAACCTAATTTCCTCCTCACCTATGGCCTCACCTAGCTCTACTATTCCAGGTGAGCAGCTGTCTCTCCACAGGGAATGTCAGTGATTGGCCCCAAGTTCCAGGTGGGACTGAGCAGACCCATCTGCCTGGAGTTAAAGTTCAAGGGACCAAGTCCCTAAGCTGAGACCTGTGTTGGGCCTTCAGGTGTGGAGGACCCCAGAGAACAAAGCCGAGGTCCTGACTGACTCTCCCTTCTTGTGAAGATAGCACTGAGGTGATACCCTTGGGATTTTAATTTGTGTGATTGAGTGACAATGAGGAGAGTCAACACCAATGAAATAAGGTTTTTATTCCTTTCACTTTCTGAGAGGAGGTCCCACCAGGCCAGGCAGGGCCCCAGGAGAAGCACCAGATTCCCTCAGGGAGCAGATGGAAGTGGGGAGCAGACTAGCCAGAATCTTTATTGGGGTTTCCATGGGAAATGCAAGGCCGGGCAGGGTGAACAGTTGAGGATCAGCTGTTATGAATAAATGAGGGGTTTTTTCTTCCTGTGGGCTGGTCTCTATTTCTCTGGTCCCAGCTCCTGGGTGATTGAGGGCAGGTTGGGGTGATTGGAAATATGGGCTCAGGATTGATTGGTGTGCACCTGATAGGCTGTTCGTGTCAGAGATGTTTCCTGTCTGTGAGAACTGGCTGTTCCAGGAGTGGCTGTCTCTTCTTGTTTAGCAAGGATTTTAAGATATCAAAACATGTAAGATGCAGAATATAAACAAGAAGTGAGGCGCACCAACTGACTGCTGTCCCTTTATGGCTGCCTGTGTTTCTACCATTTGACTGGTCCTCTCTCTCTCCCCATCCCCCGCTCCTGTGTCTCCATCCCCAGCCCCAGGAAGGGAATGAACTTGGGGTCTTATCCCCCCATTGCCCAGAAGTTACCTGGTTGACACCTGAGTTTCTTGTCTCCCAAAGGGCCCCACCCATGTAGACATCCATTCGCAGTAGAGTCAGGAGCACAGCTCTTCCTTTCAACTCAAAGATGCCTACCTTGTAATGATTGTTATTTAATTAGAAATAAAATTTTATTAAGTTATACAACATAAAGTTACTCAAGCCAAATTATGTGATCCTGAGAATGAGTATAAATAAGCTAATGGTTCTGGAAAAAAACCTATTACGAATGTTTGCAATGAATCTAGTCCTCTCCTCTAGTGGGTTTCACAGAGTCTAGATCCAAAATGTACAGAACAGGATCTGAGTGGATTTTAGCTCCTGAAGGACCATCCAATCCTCCCCTGCTCCCTGAGGACTAGCCTCTCTTGGATGTCAGATTTCCTGGAACATAAAAATGCAAATTACACGGAGTCCAGCCAAGGGTTTTATTGGCCTTGGTTTTTCATTTAGGATTTGAAAGAGCCAGACCCTTGCTGAGAAATTGAGTCAAACAGACACCCTGGGATGTAAAGTGCAGCATAGAGAATATAGACAATAATAATGTAATAACTGTATATGGTTCTGGTAAACACTGGAAATATCAAGAGAATCACTTCACAATGTGTTTGATTGTCTGACCACCACATTGTACACCCAAAACTAATACAAAATAATATGGAATGTAAACTGTAATTGTGAAATAAAATTTAAATACCAAAGAGACACCCTTTGGCCTGTAGGATTTTTGCTTCAGTGCATCAATCATTCCAAATCCTCCACATCAGATTCCTACAAGGCAAGGCAAGGGAGCACAGTAGGCCTGTGAAAAAGGAAATAATGGGGATGTATAGTGTTAAACAACTTCAATGTTTGCACATCCAAAATTATCATTAGTAATTTTATGTCATGTGAATATTACCCCCATACAAATTTGTTCATTAGTGTATTTGGAATAAAACAGATACTTGCACACACACAGATACTGAAACACAACCTCGACCCTCCTTTCTCTGAGATGAATTTTGTGGCATTTCTTGAATGAGATAGTGATTATGCCTTTTCCGTAATTCATTACTGTGCATTGTATTAAGATAGTCCTTGTGCTCTGAGGTGGGTTAGCCTGGCCTTCTGTCTGCCCTGAGGCTCACCTTGCCTGGTGCAGGTTATGGGAAATTTCCTCTTTTGCCCTCATCCATACCTGTGGCTGCAGTCAACTTCCTCTCTTCTTACCACCTCATCTGTCCCTCACACCTGACCCACAGGACAGAGGATAGGCCTAGGGGATGAGGCTGTGTTGGGGCCAGGTCTGTAGTCTCCAGTGTGAGAGGTTTCTCCTGTGCTGGGTAGTGTGAAGGCCAGAGGGAAACAGGATGGGGAGGGGACCTGTGGAATCAGTCACTAATAGACTGATTTTATTAATCATGACTATGTAATGAGGCCTTCATACAAACCTCAAAGGACACAGTTTGGGAGCTTCAGGTTGGTGAACCGATGTAGGTGCTGGGAGAGAGGGCACTTCAGAGAGAGCATGCTAGCTCCATGCCCCTTACTGCACACCCAGCCCTCTGCACTTCTTCCATCTGGCTGTTCCAGAGTCATATTCTTTTACTATAATCCTGTGATCTAGTGAGTAATATGTGCTCTGAGTTCTGTGAGCTGCTTTGTGTTACGTTAATAATTACAAAGAGGAAGAGGTCTTGGGAACCTCTGAATTATAGCGGTTTGATCAGAAGCACAGGTGACAACCTGGACTTGAAACTGGCATCTTTCATGGGATATGGGGGGACAGGTTACAAATTGAATCTTTAATTGTGGATTCTGATGTCATCTCCAGGTAGGCAGTGTGAGAATTGAGTTGAATTACTTGGTGGTGTGGGAGAAACTCCCCATCTTCACCTCCATTGAAATTGATCTCAGAATATAAAAATGGATAATTTATGTCCTTTTCCTTGTAGTAAGACTTCCGATTCAAGTGCGTATTTTACTTTTATTACCCATCATCTGGCCCTTACAGCTCACATCCTTACAGACACCCTGTATGTGGTCACCTGACATGGTGGCCATGGGCTGCCATGTGGGTTGACGCTGCTCTGAGTTGGAAGTGGAGAAGGGAGCTGTTGGTGTGGTGTAAGCTGTCCTCAGTTCAGTAGACAGTGCTTGTGTTTTCTGTCGCACTGGTACCAGTTTACATGTCAGCAACTGTTGCCCCACACTGTCACAAAAACGGGGGTTTTTACACCCTTTAGTATTTGTTCACCTGGAGCCAGTATAACAGTGTCTTATTGTGGTTTGAAGGTACACTTTCCTGGCTTCTAATAACCTGGAGCTGCCTTTCATTTGTTTACTGGCTGGTTGTTTGCTATCTTTTATGAGGGGCAGCTCAAGTGAGCCCATTTTCCTGTGTTTTCTTTTTCTTATGTACTTGCAGACATACTTCCTCATTCTGGAAACTGACGCTTTGATGTTTACATGGGTTGTAAAATTCATTTCTCACTTGATGGCTGATGATTTAATGTCTCTACAAAGAGTCCTTAATTTTAGCCTAGTCCAACTTTTCAATGTTTCTTTTTATAAATACTGCTATTTATGTCTTGTTATGAAGCCTTCCTTCTCTTAAGTTTACGGAGACATTCTGATATATTATCTTCCATCCTCTATATTGTCTTGTTTCTCCTAAAACAGCAGATCCTCAACTCATCTGCCCTTGATGTTAGTGCATCATAAGAGCTAAGCATACAATCTCATCCTAGTGCATTTGGATCACTAGTTGCCCACATGTATTATTGAGATGTTCATTGCCCCTGGATAGTAACACTGTTGGTCAGAATGTTGTCCTCATAAGCCAAGGTTCAGGGTTTGATCCTCAGGCAGGACACATGCTTGAATCAACCAATTAATGCATCAGTAAGTGAAACTACAAAATTGATACTTCTCTCTCTCTCTCTGTTTCCCTTCATCTCTCTCTAAGCAGGATGACACTAATGGGCAGGGGTGAGGGGGGTTGGGGAATTGAATGAAACAGAAAGACGACTCATGGGCATGGACAACAGTGTGGTAATTGCTTGGAGGAGAGGGGTAAAAGGAGACTAAATTATAATGGAAAAATACAATAAAGAGCACGGGGTGGGGGGCTTGGATGGGAGAAATAGACAAAAAAAACTGTACTTGAAAAATAACTAAATAAAATTAAAAAAAAACCACAGGCCAAATGAACAGAGGCCAAATTTAAGAATACTTCTACAGTTTACATTGAAAAGCCATTAAATGATTTGTCTAAAAGCAGAAATCAACTAATACATGAAGGGAGAAACTATATATTAGAAAAAAACATTAAAAAACAAGGTCCTCATTAAAAAAAAAGAGCAGACAAAAAAATCATACCATAAATAAAAAAATTCTAAGGAGAAGTTTCTCTCTTTGTCACTTTTCTGCATCACCTCCTCTAACATAACATGACATTTCCTGTGGTTTAGGTCTTTGCTATTTCTAGATGCCCTGTTCTGTTTCAGTGGTCTGGTGGTACAATGCATGTCAGTAAATGCAGCACCATCGTATTTTCTATGACATTTTTACTAGTCTTGAAGCCCTACAGAGCCAGTTCTCATACATTGTTCTTCTCCGTGTTTGTCTTGACTGCTTTTGGGAAAATTTACTTTAATATAAATTTTACAATAGAGGTACCAAGTTTTAGAGAAGTCTACTGGGAGATTGGGTGACACATTGCTTTAATTCTGCAGATTAATTTGGATAGAGTGGGCTTTCACGCAATACTGTTTTAATATCCATCAACATGCTATTTCTTTTTTTTATATTAAATTTTATTTAGTTACTATATTTCTTTATTTATTAACATCTAACGTCCTTCCAAACAGATTTATGATCTTGTCCACTGAAAAAGTGCAGCTTATATTTTTATTATGTACATATCTGAATAGATATATTTCAGGTGTATCTTAATTTTTAAAAAACATTTTATTTATTTATTTTCAGAGAGAGGGGAAATGAGAGAGAAAGAGAGGGAGAGAAACACCAATGTGTGGTTGCCTGTCACATGCTCCTGATTAGGGACCTGGCCCACAACCTAGGCATGTGCCCTGACTGGGAATCAAACCAGTGATCCCTTGGTTCTCAGGCCAGCACTCACTTAATTGAGCCACACCAGCCAGGTCCAGGTGTATCATAATTTTTGATGCTATTGTCAGTGGCATCTTTATAACATCCTACCTTTTATTACTCTGAGAGAGGAATGCTTTTGATTTTTATAATTTGATTTTGTCTCTAGAGACCTTGCTAACTCTCCTATTAAGCCCCCCAATGTGTCTGTATATATTTGTTGATTTTCCTATACATAAAATCATCTTTGAAGAAAGATAGTTTTGTCTTTTTTTAACTTTTCATATACCCTTTCTAGACTAGAACCTGATGATACTGCATTATGTGTGCTGTTGCTGAAGACACCCTTATCTTGTCAGGGAAATTCTCCTTTATTCCTGGCTGGTCATGAGTTTTATCATGAAGGCATTTGAGATCACCCAATTCTCCTGTTTTATCTCTTGGGATTTAATCAGTCAAGGGCAGATCAGGATCACAGAAGCACCACTATGGATTTCAGCAGCAAGAATTCAATGTGAAGAATCTGTTATGCTGATGTTGGAGCACATGTGGAGCAGAAGTGGAACTCTGCCTGGAAGGCTTAGACCTTCTAATTCAACCCAAGTACCGACCCTGAGGTTTTTTAGTGCATGTATGTAATTTTTGAGATATAATTGACATGTAACTTCATGATTTGATATATGTGTATATTGTAAAGTGCTCACCACGTGTCTTGTTAACATCCACCACCACATAGAGTTTCTACACTTTTATCTTGTAATGAGAAATTTCAATAATTTTATCTCTTAGCAATGTACACTCTCAGTAATTTTAAAACATCCAGTACAGTATTATTAAGTACCTTATTACAATTAACAGTATAATACTAATACCCACTATTATTAACTACAGTCACCATGTTGAACATTACGTTTTTATGATGTAATTGTTTTATAAGTAAAAATTTGTACCTTTGTCCACCCTCACTCACTTTTGCACAACCCCCTCCTTCTGCCTCTGGCAACCACCCATCTATTCTGTCTATGAGATGGGGTTTTTTTTTAAGTTTCCATATAATCATGAAGTCATACAGTATTTGTCTTTTTCCATTTACTACACTTAACAAAATGCACTCATGTTCCATTCATGTACAATAGTTGCAAATGGCAGGAGTTCTTCCTTTTTTATGGCACAATAACATCTCATTGTATATGTACCGCTTTTTCTTCATCGCTTATTGATGGACAAGATGTTTCTTCCACATCTTGGCTATGTAAATGATGCCACAATGAACATAGAAGTGTATGTGTCTTTTTAAGTTAGTATTTTCATTTCATCCAAATAAATACCCAGAAGCGGAATTGCTGGATCTTATGGCAGCTCTATTATTAATTATCGAGGACCTGCCTTACTGATTTATACTGTGGTCCCCAGTTTACATTTCTAGGAACAGTGTAGGAGGGTTCCCCTCTCTGAATATTCTTGCCAATGTTTATTTCTTGTCATTTTTATAATCTAGTTTGCAATTTGCTAGACCTCTCTGGTGATGTGAATTATAGGGGCACAACCAAGGAAATTCTGCTTCCTTTAGTCCTTTGCTTGAGCAAGATAGTCTGGTTTGCAGTACATGAGGAGTCTGGGGTGGGTGTGGGTAGAGCTGGTTACTTCTGGGTAACATGTTCCCTGTGGCAGGGGCAGCCCCAGGTTATATGAAACCTGATATTTATACTAATGTTGAGATCACTGCTTTGAAAAAGAAGCAATGAGTGGCGCCTATCAACTTTTCTGAAGCAAGAAAACACATCACATCAAATAAGAAAAGCTAAATGCTGAAAACCAAATATAAGAGAATTCCAAAAATAACAGACTATTTTTATTAGTAGTATGGATTCTTGTCTGGCACACCTGCATAACATGTTCTCTACCTTTTTTGACTACATTTTTGCTGCCTCTTCTTTTTTTTAAGATTTTTTTTAAAGAGAGAGAAAAGGAAGGAGAAAGAGAGGGAGAGAAACATCAATGTGTGGTTGCCTCCCAGGAATCCCTTACTGGAGACCTGGCCCACAACACAGGCATGTGCCTTGACTAGGAAATGAACTGGCAACCCTTTGGTTCTCAGTCCTGTGTTCAATTCACTAAGCTACACCAGCCAGGATGTTGCCTCTTTATTGGAGAGTAATTCTGTCATATAGTAATAAATATTAATATTATATTTATATAACATGAAGAACAAAAGAGAATTCAGTATTTCCTCCAGCACAGGTAATTGAGATTTCTTTTTATCCTGTACAGTTTAAGAAACTGCTTCAATCACACAATTTGTTCCTGGAATGTCTGACCTATTTCACCTCATTGTCATTTTTGGGAAAATGTTTAAGTTTTTTCTTTCATAAAAGAGCAGTAGGATTGCAGATTACTTCTGCATATCACTCCAGCCTTTGCTGGGGCTTTGACAAGTGTTTGAGCGTGCAAGAGCCCCTGAGGAGGAGTTTCATGAGCTTTACTGTGGCAAATTTGCTGCTGTGCTGAGGGCCAGCCTCTGGGGTCCCCACTGAATGGGGCAAGATCTCCCTGCACATGTCCCATTTTAGGGGGCCCTGTGTGCCATTGCCATCCACAGACCCTTGGACCCTTGAGGAGGAACATCTGTGCATCCCATGTCCTGAAAACTTTCAGAATGAAGGGCTTTAATGCTCAGGTTTTTCCTGGGTTCTGCCCTCCATTGTTGGGTCTAAACTCTTTCCTCTCTTGCTAGCACTTGAATACTCTAAAATTTTTTTAAATGATCTTTTTCAGAATGTGCAATGGTTTCAGCTGGATCATGGGTCCCCTGAGTCAATACGAACAGATCTGACCTCTATGATCCCTGAGTGACCTCCCTCTTGACTTAAATATCATGTGCAAGGTGATTACTTTCAGATTTACATCTGGGTGTGCCTCTCAACCATTGGACTCCTCAGTAGATCCACCTGCAGGGAAGGATTGGTGGATGTAAGACAGGATGATTTATAAGCCCTCACCACACCCCCACAGCCCATGGAGTCCAAGTTCCCCTCCAGGTGTTGTCACAGCTCTGTCACCCATGGCTTCCTGTTGGGGCTACTCAGCCCCACCCCACAGCTCTGCATTTCCCTCCCTGGCACAGGGACTGGGACAGTTCTGCCCTGTGTGAAGCAGACATGGTGCCCCTGTTATTGCTGCCCCTGCTGTGGCGGGGTGAGTGGGCCTGGGAAGGGGGATGGGTGTGGGGGAGTGGCTGGGGCTGCAGCTGAGCTTCTGTGTTTCCCCAGGGTCCCTGCAGGAGAAGGAAGGCTATGAGCTCCAAGTGCAGGAATTGGTGACGGTGCAGGAGGGTCTGTGCATCCATGTGCCCTGCTCCTTTTTCTACCAGCGGGGCTCGTGGTTTTCCTCTAGAGAACTCTACACCTTCTGGTACCTGAGTGAAGATGGCACAAATTATGCATCTCCTGTGGCCACAAATGACCGATATGCACAAGTGAAGCAACAGACTCAGGGCCGATTCCTCCTCGCAGACCCTAGGACCAACAGTTGTTCCCTGAGCATCAGAGACTCCAGGAAGAGTGACACAGGAACCTATGTCTTCCAAGTGCTGACTGGATATTTTGACAGATATACCTACCAAGATAAGAAGCTGACTTTGAAGGTGACAGGTATGGCAGGGGCCCAGGAGGGGATGCTGAGACATGGGACCCAGGTTAGAACTGGAACTGGACCTTGGGACACTACTAAATCCAAGAGACACAGCACTGGGGGTGAACTCAGGCCCTCAGCCCTGGGTCCCAGGTGGGTTCACATTCTGGGTCCCAACTGAAGCCCCAGGTCTCAGGCGCCTCCCTCTCTCCTCCTCAGACCTGACACAGAAACCTGACATCCACATTTGGGGGCCCCTGGAGTCTGGCCGCCCCACACAGCTGAGCTGCAGCCTGCCAGGGTCCTGTGAAGAGGGAAGTCCTCTCATCTTCTCATGGGTGGGAAATGCTCTTGATTCTCTGAATCTCAAGACCCTTCGTTCCTCCATGCTCACCTTCACCCCGAAGCCCAGGGACCATGGCACCACAGTCACCTGTCTGGTGACACTTGCAGGACCGGGGGTGACCACACGTGAAACCATTCAGCTCAATGTCTCCTGTGAGTGTTGGAGAACAGCTAGTGTCCTGGGGGCAGAGAGACTGGCACACTCGAGCCTTTGTGAGTGTGTGTGTGTGTGTGTGTGTGTGTGTGTGTGTGTGTGTGTGTAGAGGAGGCTGAGCTTACCTGAAAACACTTGTACATGTTTCTGAGTGCAGGAGGGAAGTGATCAAGAAGGACATCGATCCCATCTTTCTCATTGCCACCCCACCTCCTTGGGTTCAAGGTGACTTCTCTCTGCTCCTTCCCTCTGAAGTGGGGCCATATCTTTCTTTCCCAGATGCTCCACGGAACCTCGTGATAGGCGTGTCCTACAGAAATGTCACAGGTAGGAAAGAACGTCCGTCTCTGGGACTGAGACCTGTGCCAGGGACACCATGGAACTGAGAGGGAATCACAGTGTCAATGAGACCAGAGATGAGAAAAGCAAGGAGGAAAATCATCATTCTTCCTCACCTTTTGTTGGTGTGCGCCTTTCCCTGTGTTCTCTCTCTCCTCCCCTCCCTTCCCCTCTCTCTCTCTCCACTTCTCTCCCCAAAGCACTCGAGATTCTGCAAAATACTTCATCCCTTCCCATCCTGGAGGGTGAGGCTCTGCGGTTGCTGTGTGTGGCTGACAGCAACCCCCCTGCACAGCTGAGCTGGTTCCAGGGATCCCCAGTACCGAATGCCACCCCCATCTCCAGAACCACGATCCTGGAGCTGCCTCGAGTGGGGACTGGAGAAGAAGGACAGTTCACATGCCAAGCTCAGCACCCACTGGGCTCCCAAAGTATCTCTCTCAGCCTCTCTGTGGTCTGTGAGTGTGGGGACCCCTGGCGGCAGGGCACCTGGGTCCTAGGAGGGAAGAGGCACCACTAACCCTTCTCCTTGCTCCCCACAGATGCCCCACGGCTGGTGGGACCCTCCTGCTCCTGGGAGGACGAGGGTCTGCGCTGCAGCTGCTCCTCCCGAGCAGAGCCGGCCCCCTCGGTGCGCTGGCAGCTGGGGGAGGGGCTGCTGGAGGAGAACCCCAACAACGACTCCTACACCATCACCTCCCGCTCCGTGAGGTCCTGGGCCAACAGCTCCCTGAGACTCCGCGTGGGGCTCAACGCCGGCCTCAGGATCACCTGCGAGGCGAAAAATGTCCACGGGGTCCAGAGCGCCAGTGTCCTGCTGCTTCCAGGTCAGGCGCCTGCTGGAGTCGGAGGCTGAGGGAGAAAGGAAGGGATCAAAGGGAGGAGGGTATTAGGGAGAGGGGTTGTGGCTGGGAAGGGCATTATTTGTTAGGATGGGACCCTCCATCTGGTGTCTGAACGGAACCTACTGCCAGTTGTGCAAGTTTTGGGAAGTCCACACACTGAGTTCTGTGAGTGGGTGGGCTGACGCCTCTATTCTCTGCAGGGAAGTCGATATCTGTTTCCAGAGTGGTTCCCGCAGCTCTTGGAGGTGCTGGTGCCATGGCCCTACTCTCCTTATGCTTGTGTCTCATCTTCTTTTACATGTAAGCCCATGTCCTGGGGAGGTACAGGGAGCTGTGTCGTGGGGAATAGAAAGAGGGGCCCCTGAATCCCAGAAAGGCAGAGCTGAGTACATAAAGAGGGGTCGTTTTGGGGGGGAGTGGATAGGATAGCAGCTTTATTGAGATAAAATTTCCATATATTTAAAGGTACAATTCAATGGGTTTTATTTCAGTCACAGAGGTGTGCACCCATCATCACAATGAATTTTATAACTTTTCATTAGCACAAAACAAAAACAAAACAAAACAGACATCCCTTATTCCCCATTTTGTCATCACCCCTCAGTCCAGCCCCCAGGCAACCACTAATCTATGTCTTGTTTCTTTAGATTTGCCCTTTCTGGGCATTTCATATAAATAGGATCCTACAATATATGGTGCATGGTGACTGACTTTTCTTTTTTTTTTTTCATGTACCACAATAATTTCAAGATTTATGTGTCATTTTTTATTCCTTTGTGTTCCAAATAATATTCCATGTTAGGGACGGGGCAAATTTTATTTGTCTGTTCATTCACTGTTGGGTTGTTTCTACTTTGGGGCTCTTGGAGATAACACTGTTATGATTGACTGGGCATAAGTTTCTCCCTCTGTAGGGGCCTATTGTGATATAAGTTTAGTGTCAGCCAGACACCTGGTCATCCAGGGCACGGAGCACTCACTTAGTTGTCAGGAGGGTCTCTGAGTCTGGTTCCAGGATCTTGATGGGTCAGTTGTCTTGTTGGGGAGTGTGGGGCAGCCTGCCAACCTGTGCCTGAGCCATTGTGGGTCCTGACTTCTTCCCTTAGAGTGAAATTGCACAGGAAGCAAACAGACAGGAGACGAAAGGCCACAAATGATGAAGACCCTGTCATGGGCACAGTCACCTGGGTGAGTGATGTGAGTATCTTCTCATGCAGTGTAGGGGGAGGGGCTGGGCATGTCTGTTCAGTGAGTGTGGGCTGAGCTTCCCAGCATTACCATAAACTCACTCCTCTGTTCTCAGCTGGACAGACAGTTGGGAGTGAACTTCCCCTTACTTATCCAGAGCCCAGGGTCAGCCTCCTGTCCTAGATCTGCTGACCACTCAGCCCACCTCACCTCTTTGCTGGATACAGCCTGACAGAACCTGCTCTCCAAAACTGTTACTTTCTACCAATTCTGGGCACATCACTTCACCTCTACTTACAGTTTCCCTATTGATAAATAGAAATGCTAAGAGTATCATTTTTTAGAAGATATTTTATTTATTTACTTTTAGACAGGAAGGAAGAAGGAGAGAGAGAAACATCAGTGTGTAGTTGCCTCTGGCATGTCCCCTACTGGGGACCTGGCCTGCAATCGAGGCACGAGCCCTGGTTGGGAATCGAACTGGTGACACTTTGGTTTGCAGGCTGGCACTCAATCCACTGAGCCACACCTGCCAGGGTTGATAAGACTAGCATTTATATTTTTTATCTGTGGGGATTAAATATGATCAGTAAGACCTTGATATGGTCTAATCAATTGTAGTATTACAAACTTTTAAATGAATAAACAAATAGCTGAGTTCATGAGCAGTGTGTGTGGAGTAAGAGGATGAATGAAAAACTTCCATCTGCACAACTTCCCCTTGAAACCATGTCTAATTGATTCTTCTCTGACTGTCTTCTGTCCCCTTTACTAAGGGTTTCCAGCTAAACCCTAGGCCAGATGGGCCTCCAGACCTAGTGTCACCCACTGGGGATGTCTCTCCATTGAGAGAGGAGCAGGATACCCAGTATGCCAAACTCACCTTTCATGGGAGAAAGCCCTGGGAGCCTCAGGACAAGGAGGCCATCACCACCTGTGTGTACTCAAAGATCAAGGAGACACGCCAATGAGGACTCGCTGAGAGCTCCGTCCTAGCTAGAGGCATCACAGCCTCTATGAGGGAAAGAAGACAGGGACTAATTGATGAAACGTGAGGAAACCTCGTGCAACATTAACATTAACCACTGTAAGAGCACCTGCAGACAGAGCAGAAAGAAGGTGATGGGATTGGAGAAACTTGGACTCAAGTGCAGACTTCAGTACTTCCTAAGGCATTGTCTTCAAGTGAGTCACTTTATTACTCTGTCGCCAGTTTCCCTTCAGTACATTAGAGATCACCCATCCCAGTCAAAGGTGGCTGTGAGCATTAAAGAAATTATGAGCAACAGAGGTCCAGGTATTGCCTGTCTGTCTTGTTTGAACAGAAAGGTCCTGGTGGCAAGTTCTTCTGAAGCCAAGGGTGACCAGCTATAGAAAACAGGGTGGAAACTTGTTGCTCTCATTTTCCATCCCAGAACTCATCTAAGCCTGTACAGGGAAAGATATCCCTGTCCACTTTGTGTTCGTTCAGTTCATAATGGTTCATGATGAGGTATCATAGTTTCTCTGGGTTCATCTTGCCTCACTTGTTCCTGTCCATTCTCCAGCACTTTGTGAGCACCAGTCCCTTCCCCATCCCATGTACAGCCCCACAGGGATCCTTCCACCTGCCTGTTGGCTGTAAGGAGAAGCTGACCAGGCATTGTGTCACCAAAAAGGATTTTTTTCCAGAGACAAACAAAGGATTGGGATGCAGCTGGTGCAGCCACAGTGAGCCACAGGCACAATTTGCTGAAGGAAGCAGCTGCCAGGGAGCCCTTTTCACAGAGGGAAAGAGGAATTTCAGGGGAAAGGGGCTGTTACCACCATAGAGCTCTGTTGTGAACAGAGTGTTTCCAGAAGGGCTGCCAGCACCATGTAGGGTGTGACAGTGCCCCCTCACAGGACTCCTGGTTCCTGTCTGGGTTTGTCCTCCATAGTAAAACTGGCCATGACAGAGAGCTGACCCTACCTCTGTCCCACGCAAACCCCTACCTACTTCCTGATCTTAGTCATTACATCCCAGGCCTCTTCCCCTTTACCTCTTCACCCACCTTCTCCCCATGGCCTTTACCTCTGAAATCTTCTATGGCATTTCTTACAAAAGTTTAAGCAATTTGAGATTCCCTCCTGGAAACCATGCCCCCTTGCTTTCATCTGGCTCAGCCCATCCTGTCCTTCAAACCCAATTCTTGGACAGACTTAGGTTAAAAGTATGAAATGAAGAAAGAACTCATAGTCTCCCTCCTCTATATAGTTTATTTGATTTAATTTTTTTAAAACACAGTTCTAAGACGAAAATAACCAGAGTCATGAGTAGCACCATAGTGCAGGTGCCTAACAATAAGCTCTTTGATTGTGAAGTCTGTAGTGTCCCTTAACTGTGGGCGAGATGTTTCAAGATCTCCAGTGGATGTTTGAAACCTCAGACAGTACCGAGTCCTATATATATTATGAGTTTTCCTATGACACACCTATGATGAAGTTTAATAGGTAAACTAGGCACAAAAAGATATTAACAATAACTAATAGTAAAGCATAATTATAACAATATACTGTGGTAAAGGTTATGTGAATGTTGTCTCTCCCTCTCTTGAAATATCTTCTATTGCCCTGGCTGTTGTGGCTCAGTAGATTGAAATCCAGCCTGTGAACCAAAGAGTTTCTGGTTCAATTTCCTGTCAGGGCACATTCTTGGGTTGTGGTCCAGGTCTCCCATGGGGAATGTGTGAGAGGCAAGCACACAATCATGCTTCCCTCCCTTTTACTCTCTCCTTTTCCCCTCTAAAAATAAATATATAAAAATATCTTCTGTTAATGTACTAACCCTTCTTCCTAGAGACCATCCCATGTGGTGTGAGGAATGTAGCCCAGTCCCCAGTCAGAAAGGCCAGTGGGGAGCAAGGTCTGGCACACAGGACCCATGCCCATGGGATAGGTTCTCCCTTGGGGAGTCAGGTCTGCACTGTACCTAGGCTGCTTTGAGGCTTGCTTTTGCTAAAACTCCTTCACCCTGCATTGAGCCAAAAAAAGGTTTACTGTGTATCTTTAAAGTAAACTCCTAAAATCTGTGCTAAATTTCCCAAGTATGGAGTGTAACCAGTTCAACCACTTTTCCCTTTGCATTTGCAAATATCCTTTTTCTTTGATATAATTAGAACCATTCTCTCCTTTATTTTCTGTAATAGGTAACCACCTAAATTGAACCTGCGCACAGTAAATGAGGATGATCCTCTGTGTAATGTGCCCAGAAAAGCAATAACAGTTAGTCCAGGCAAGGGTTGAGGCCCTCTCTCACTCAGAGAGTGGCCATGCTGTCCCCTTTGCTCCACAGGACTTCTTTAATCTGTGTGAACTTGTTTATCACAGCCACTACACACAGATCCTGCCGACCCGGGTCTGCATCACTAACTGTGCTGTTGGAGGTGTCACAAGGCCTATGTGATGATGTGTAGGGAGGTGAATGCCACAGGCATTGTGACTTTGCATGAGGCTACTACAAGGGGGACTTGAACACAAGTCACCCAGATGCTGGGACAGTAGATCTGAAGACCTAATTGGGTACTAAGTGACTCACAAGTGGGCAGTATATACAGTGCAGAGATCCTGGACAAAGACATGGTTCACACCCAGGCAGGACACAGAGGGAGTACAAGATTCAACATATTACTCAGAAAATTGTGAAATTTCTAACATAAATGGTTTATTTTTGGAATCTTTCATTTATTATTTTTGGACTATGTTTGAACACAAATAAGAGAAACCATGGAAAGCACACCTGTGGATAATAGGAGATGACTGTAGTAAAGCTTCAAAAAATTTTCCCTAATGGTTGTTGCTGAAGTGTGTCTTATAATCATAACAAGAACCACAAGGGCTGGTCCAGCCACAACATTGGCTTCAAGGAGGAAATGACTGTAGGGTGTCCACAGGTAGAATGGGCCCAGGTGAGTACCCCGGTGATACCAAACAACCACCTGCATGTAGGTGATTCATTTCCTTCATTCTAGAAATTGAGAAGATGGCCCTGAGGAAAGAAGAGGACAATTATAGTTTGTAACTAGGACTTTGGTTCCCCACATCCACTACATGAACTCCAATTTCGGTATGGCAAGAAGTTGAATTGTGACTCTTGTCTTGCTAATAACTGGTTAAATCATTCTGCTCAGGACTTGTGCTGAAAATAACAAAATTCTTTCGGAAAAAAGTAAATAGAAAAAAATAAAATTCCTCATTTTTATAAGTATAGAATAATTGAAAATAAATAAAAATGGGCACTCACTAGGCTAGTATTTGGAGAATACTTGAATTCAGAAAATGAGACAGAATATTTAAACCAAGATACCAAAGTTCCCAATGACATCTACGCACACTGATCATGTAGCTTTGGTTCTGTGGCCTTTGTGACACAGAAATGAAAGGGGCTTGAAGAGAAAGGGAAAGAAAGAAATTATGAGACTCCTGGGAGCCTTCCTGTTTTATTCTCGATTTGAGATACAATCCCATAGTGTAACTTGTATGTTTATATAATGTAAACTATTTTAATAAGGCACCATATTATATATTTCTCATATTTATTAATGTATAATATTGTACTATAGTATACAAAATACAATATGAAAAATTACAGTGTATTAATCAGTGTAATGATTAGCTATATATTCATTATAATATTTATAACACATTTCTATAATATAAACTTTAATAAATATATAATGTTTATGCAACATAAACTATGTATATGTTTTTACAACCAATACATTCAAAAATATTTCAGACTTGAAATATTTTTGTTCCAATAATTGACTGTTGTGGAAAAATTTCAAGGAAGAATAACATTAAACAGCATGATGACAAATCAGAGGGATGAGAGGAAAAGCAGACATAAGCCCAGCCCTCTACCACGCCTTCTTATAACTTCTCCTTTCCAAGAAGAACCTCACCTTGCCAAAGCCCCTGTATCCTAGGTGCCCTACTTACCTAAACTCAGACCCTTGTGACTGTGGGCTGAATTCCTTGGCAGAGGGAATCCGGATATGCTCCAGCACCAAGGACAGCGCCAACCTTTCCTGGAAGAGCTCTCAGGTCTAGTACAGAGGATGATGTGACCCCTGGAGGCCGAGCCTTGACCTGCCTCTTTCAGAGGTACAGCAGGAGAATAAGGGCAGTTGACATTCTATCCTACAGAACAGAGGTGCACACAAACCCTTCTAAGTCTCCCCTTGTGCACCCCCTCATCCTTGGGAAGAGGAGCCTTAATTTCAGACACACAGTGCATTTCTCAGAGGTCACTTGGTTCTTGCCTGTCAGGGCTGAATCTACTGTCACCTCACTCAGAAAACCTTCTGGGTCAGACTCTCCCCATTGCTTTCTTCTTTTCCTCACAAGAGTGGGTTGGTATTTTCTCTTGCTGCCAATCCCTTCCTTGTAATGTCACAGAGCTCTGCACAACAGAAGATATGATCTGTGAGTCTTTTCTGTGCCTGGCACTATTCCCAGTCCCAATTCAGCTTAAATGAAGAGTTAAAGAATCAGAAGTCTGGTAGGTATGTTCTTTTTGGAGCTGAGAGGGCACTCAAATAAATTTTAAGTTTCAGGTCATTCTACAGGAAGGGTAAACATTGAGATTGGGGAAAGAATTCTGTGACATCAGTGGACCCCAGCAGGGAATATGTTATTATGAAGGGCAGAGCAAGCCAGGCAAGGTAAGAGGAAGTGGAGGTGGGGTAAGGATAGGGAGATTCAATATTTCCATAAAGATGGCAGGCCTTTTTTGTCTGGAGGAAATGCATAGACATTAGAGGGTGAGAGTACAGGTCATGAGGACCCTGAGAATGAGCTCACAGCTACACATTAGTCCAGTGGCTTTCCAATCTCAAGTTGACAGCAGAGACCCACCAGAGGCAACCTCATCTGTGCGGCTAGAGACAGGGCCACTCTTCTCATGTTGAGCCTCTAAGCATGGGAGGCTCCTGGGCAGGAATATGAGTTCAGTCACTCCTCCTTGAGGCTTCTTGTGTGACCAGACCTGGTCTTAGGATCAGGACAGAGAGAGAGAGAGAGAGAGAGAGAGAGAGAGAGAGAGAGAGAGAATTTGGATTCTAGTAGGTCCAGGTTCCCAGACCTTACTGCTCCTAGAGATGTTCTTAGAATTCTGAAAAAACAGAAAGAGATGGCCCTCCATTTGTTCTCTGAGGGGGTGGTGGTGGGGATAAACACTTGGCACAGGTGACATGAGTGGAGAGTTGGATGCAAAGGGGTCTTCCTGACACAGTGTGACAGACCTACAGTGAGAAGAGCTCCACATTTTCTCCCCTATTAGTCCTCGGGAGAAGGAAAGCTTCTAAGAGAAGGCAGGTTTTGGAAATGACCCTCCAGAAGGAGCCATAGATATAAATCTACTGCTTCCCAGAGAGCAGGGACTGACCCTGCGACCTCAAGGGTCCTGTAAATGACCCCCACTTTTCTCATGCAAAAATCGATGGGTTTACTGTAGATAGTGTACACCTTCTGGTTGAAGGAAGAAACCATATGTACCATGATCATCCTGTGCACAAATAGACCAGATCAGTACCTAAAGGAGATGATCAAGAACCTTGGGAGGACTCCACCTCCTTGGGGACCCCCACCTGTGACTGTTGTCTGGGAAACACAGATGTCAGGGTGGGAAGAGCAGGACATTGCACCTTCAGGAGGAGAAGACTGCTTAGGAGATCCTGTCACAAATAGAAAATGCCATCCATGGTTGGGACAGGTAGGGCCAGAGCATCATCAGCCAGAAGGCAGAGTTAACATGAAGGACCTTCCTGGTGTCACACATTTCTGAGCTGTGTTTCTGTGTCCACCCTAGTGCTGACTCAGATACTTGACATCCACATGCTGGGGTCCCTGGGATCTGGGTACAGGGGTCTGATAAGGGAGCATGACATTCACCTTTCACTGGTAAGATTTATCCTGAAACACCCTTCAACAACACACATGTCATAATTCAGAAAGTCCTGTGCTTCTTTGCACCATTTCCACTCAGGACCCCCAGGTGACCTCAGCTCTTGTTTGTGCTGTTACTTCAGGGAAAGAGCCATCATTCCCTGGCAGCTCCCCTGACCACACAGAACAGAGTCAAGTCTGTAAGTAGAGGGCCAGAGCAAACTTTCTCTTCTGTGCCCCCAAGACCATTCATTGTTCTCAAGTGTGAGGGGTGCCCTGATGTGGACAGAGGGACATCCTAACTCTCTGAATATGACAAGTCCTCACTGGGGTGGGCTTGGAAGAGGATGTGGGGGATGGGGTGTGTGGCACCTAGAGCAGGAAAGGCATAGAGACTTGACCCAGCCATAAACGGAATGATTTAATATATGTATGTATCTCTAAGTGCTCACCACAATATCCCATGTTAGCATCCCTCACCACATAGAATTCCACATCTTTTCTCTTGTAAAGAGAACTTTTCACAATTTTTTCTCAACAATTTTCAGATATACAACACATTATTAACTGCATCATTATAGTTAATAGTACTAATACCCACTACTATTAACTATGGCCACCATGCTCTTCCTTATGTCCCCATGATTTAGTTATATTATGACTGAAGGTTTGTACCTTTGACCACCTCATGCATTTTCCCCTACCCACATTTACATCTTCTGGCTACCACCCATCTATTCTTGCTATCTATGAGTTTGACTTTTTATTTTCATTTTTAAATGTTTTCTTGTATTTTTCATTACTATTTAGTCCCCTTGTAGTTCCCCTTACATTCACAATCACCACATTGTTGTCCATGTCCATGTGTCCTTTTTGCTTTTTGCTCAATCCCTGCACCCTCTAACTCCCCCCAACACCAGCTGTCATCTGCTCTGCATCCATGAGTCTGTCTCTGTTTGGCTTGTTAGTTCAGTTTGTTCATTAGATTCCACATATAAGTGAAATAATATAGTATTTTTTCTGTGGCTGATATATTTCACTAAATATAATGCTCTCCAGGGCCATCCATATTGTCACAAATGGTAAATTTTTCTTCTTCTTTTTTAATGGCTGGGTAGTATTCCATTGTATAAATACCTCAAAGTTGTTTTATTCACTTATGTACTGATGCACACTCAGACTTCTTCCATATCTTGGTGAGTGAAAATAATGCTTCAATGAACAAAGGTGTGCTTATGTTCTTTCAAATTAGTGTTTTGCATCTCTTCAGGTATATTCCCGGAAGTCAGATGGCTGGGGCAAATAGTATATCCATTTTTAATTTTTAAAAATATCTTCATGCTGCTTTCCACAGTGGCTGCACCAATCTGTATTCCCACCAACAGTGCAAAAGTGTTCCCCTTACTCCACATCCTTGTCAGCACTTGTTGTTTATTGATTGATTAATAATAGCCATTCTGACAGGTGTGAGAAGATATCTCATTGTGGATTTAACTTGCATTTCTCTGATAACTAGAGATGTTGAGCACCTTTTCATTTGCCTGTTGACCATCAATATGTCCTCTTCAGAGAAGTGTCTATTCAGATCCTTTGCCTTTTTTAATTGTTTTTTTTGGGGGGGGTGTTGAATTTATAATTTCTTTTTTTTCCTTTTTTACATTTAATTATTTTTCAGATACAGTATTCTGTCTTTTACTCCAATCCCAGCCCACACCCCCACTGCTCCCCACCTCCCTCCCATTTCCACCCCCACTAAGTTGTCCATGTGTCCTTTATACAAATTCCTATAAATCTTTCCCCTTTGTCACCTGAAATTCCCTCCCCTCAACCCTCTGGTCACTGTCCCCCTGTTCTCTATTTCAGTATCTTTGGTTATATTTTGCTTGTTTGTTTTTTTTGTTGTTATTTAGCTTCCTGTTAAAGGTGAGATCATATGGTATTTGTCTTTCAATGCCTGGCTTATTTCACTCAGCATAAGGTGTTCTGTTTCCATCCATGCTGTTGCAAAGGGTAGGAGCTTTTTCTTTCTTTCTGTTGCAATGAATTTTATTGTGTATATGTACCATAATTTTTTGATTCATTACTTTATTGATAGGCACCTAAGTTGCTTCCAACTCTTGGCTATTGTAAATTGTGCTGCTATGAACATTGGGGTGCATAACTCCCATTGGATTGGTGTTTTAGGATTCTCAGGATATAATCCCAGCAGTGAAATTGCTGGGTCAAAAGGCAGATCCATTTTTAGTTTTCTGAGAAAATTTCACACAGTTTTTTACAGTGGTTTTACCAGCCTGCAGTCCCACCAACAATGGACTAAGGTTCCCTTTTCTCCAAAACCTTTCCAACACTTATTGTTTGTTGCTTTTTTTATGATGGACATTCTGACCAGTGTAAAGTGGTATCTGATTGTGGTTTTAGTTAGCATCTCTCTGGTAGCTAGCGATATTGAGCATCTTTTCATACGTCTCTGGATACGCTGTGTGTCCTTCCTCCCTGGAGAAATGTCTGTTCAAGCCCTTTGCCCACTTTGTAATTGTGTTGCTTGTCTTCTTATAGTGGAGTCATGTAAGTTTTTTTGTATATTTTGGAGATTAAACTCTTGTCTGAGGTATCATTGGCAAATATGTTTTCCCATACAGCTGGTTCTCTTTTTATTTTAATATTGTTTTCTTTAGCCATGCAAAAGCTTTTACTTTTGATGAGATCC